CGTATCAGGTACATCCTCCTTCCTACTCCTCTTGGTTCAGATCTGATTTGGTTCATGGTTCAAGATTGATCCTTGAAAATTTGTTTTCTAAAATAGGGAATTTGATTYCCTACAAAGATGGGAGAAATTTTTTTTTTTGAAATTCGCCCAGTCCATTCCGCAAGACTTGGGCATACATGTGATGGATATCCCATCCCTTCAGTACTCCAAAATGCACTAATATCTCTGCAACAAGAAAGCGAACTAGTAGAACAAAGTAATACCCAAAGAAAAACAGAGAGAACAAAGATAAAACAAACCTCTACGAAATACCAAATAATATTTATAGTGAAAAAAAAGAAAAACAAAAAACATACCAAGCAAATGGGCGGCTCTAGCTCCTCCAAGAAAAACAAAAGACCGTTTCTCCTCTAACTCACCATTCAAGGGTAATTTGGTCATGAAAATTGTTATTTATGCTGATATGAACACCTCTGTTAAGAAGCATTAACGGTGTACTAACGGAAGGTGAGTTTTGAAAAATAAAAACTTACTGACATGGTGAGTTTTAGACATTTTGAAAAGTTGTGGTGAGTTTAAGAGAAATATTAAAAACTCATGGTGAGTTTTAGACAATTTCCCTTAAATAAATAAAGGGATAAGTAGACTGCACTCCACCTCAAAATTCAACTACACACCATTAACAATTCAAAATTTCAAACAACTCCACCAATACCTGCTTGTGTATTGGTATCAATTCCGAGTTGGCACCTATCCCAACTGTACCATGGAGCTAAGATTTATTGGGGTGGACTGAACAATAAAAACCCCTTTAATAAAACCCACTTAAAACAATGATATAGCGGCATTTCAAATATGCTTTTTACGGCATTTTAATATTTTCCACTGAAAAATTATATTTAGTGGCAATTTTACTGCATATATATAATGGCAATTCTTAAAATTGCCACTAAAACTAAGGGTCTGTTTGGTTCGCAAGAATAGGGGTCCGGAATCATAATGGTCCATTCCGATTCCAAGTGTTTGGTTGGGTGGAATCGGAATCCGATTCCCATTTTGGGCAGAATGGCAATCCCCCATTTTCGAGAGTGGCCATTCCTGACCCACCCCACCCCCCGGAATCGGAATCTCATTCCCGCTCTTTCACATAAAAAAAAAAAAAGAAAATGACAAAAAAAACCCTCAAACCTCTCCCAACCCAATTCCAACTTTTTAACCCTCACTCCTCTCTCTCTCGTTACTCCCTCATTCGGTAGTTGGAGTTCGAAGTAGTAATCTGAAATTCAGAACCAAAACTCCGGTGACGGTGGCAACAAGGTAAATCACCGTTGATTTTTTTTCTCTCCTATTTCCTATTCTTCTTCTTCCTCTCCTTCTCTCTCGCACTTTATTTTTTCATTACTCCCCAGTCTTTTCGCTGCAAACTTGACTAGACCACAACAAGGTTTATTTCTTTCTTCCACTTGTTGTTTCTGCTCACCCAAAGGTTTGATCCTTTGATGTCATATATCAACTGGGAGACTCTATATGAGATATTGGTAACCTGATTCATGAAACTCCAATCAGCTCTTCTTGTGTATTCGCTAGGCTTCCGTATGGTGAAACTTTCTTCAAAAAGCCTACTGGTCATTGCTCTAATGGCCTTCTTATGGTTGACTTCTTTGATAATTATTCTTTATATCTAAAAATCTCATTTTATATTTTCTATTTAATTAGTTTTTCATTCACATCTTTCTGGGTTTTCTCTTTTCTTTTAGATATAACCGATGTAGATTTTTTATTTTTTTATTTTTTTATTTACCACCTTATTCCAAGCTGGCGGTTTGACCCAGCTTGTATTAGTTTGCTTTAGAGCTGGATTGGTAAGGGTAAGCTGGGTCGACTGGGTCAGACCCGATTCAGAGTGTAGATTTTTTATTAGATTGTTCATTGTTCTTTACAATAATCTCTCTCTCTCTCTTGATGAAAATGAATGAGTTTCCATTACTCATGACAATCATCAGCAATCTAATAAAATTTTATTTCTATTTCTATTTCTTCTTTTTATGTATTGCAGCTTCGGCCCTTCATCTCCCTCTTCTTAACCCTTACTTGGCAAGGGATGCCGACTTCAGTCATGGAGTGAACTTTGAAGTATCTGGTTGTACAGCACATGACACATCCTTCCTTGCAAAAAATAAAATTCTACCTCCACTCACCAATAGTTCCCTTTCAGTCCAACTTGGTTGGTTCAAAGACCATCTAAAGTCCATCTGTTACACCAATACAGGTATGTCACATTGAACACTTTATTAAATTTGCTCATTTACACCACAGTTACAGTTCTAATTAAGAAGATTACTCTTTAGTTTCAGTTATTGAATTGCCCTTTTTCTTTGATTAATCTTTGTTTAGAGTGTCCCACAAGCTTAAAAAGGCCTTATTTCTAGTGGGAGAGATTGGAGGGAATGACTATAACTATGCATTATTTCAAGGAGAAAACCATAGCAGAGGTTCAGAGTTATGTGCCTTATATTGTCCAGAAAATCAATGATGCTACTAGAGTAAGTCTCTTGTCTACCTCTTCCACATTACCGTTTTATATTTTCTTAATAAAGGTTCTTTAATTTGTAATCTTGATTGATTAGTTTTTACTTAGTTGAAATATTAATGCTCAAACTTCATCATCTCATGTTGTGTGCAGAAAATGATAGATCATGGTGCACAGACAGTGATTGTTCCAGGGTATTTACCAATAGGATGCCTGCCAATTTATCTCACAGCTTTTAGAAGCGATGACCCAATGGCTTATGATGAACTTAAGTGCCTGAAAGGCTTGAATAACTTGGCAATGTTACACAACGATAACCTCCAAAGAGCCTTGAAACAACTGAGGAAGGAGTACCCTGATGTCACTATTGTATATGCTGACTACTACACAGCCCTTCAGTGGGTACTAAGCCATGCTCCTCTTGGTAAGTTTGCTGTCATCTTCTATGGACAAACAATCATTTTATAGCTTGTTAAGGATAATGAGAATCAAGAGTCCTCTGGAGATCTGGATCTATCCTCCTAGGATAATCCCAATCTACTACTTGGGATAATCTCTATCCTAATCCTACTGTAACTCATATTTTCTGTGATTATCTTCTTATCTGTACATTCTCTCAATTCATGTAGAACTCCATTCTAATGTAAACATCTCATCTATAAATACCATACGTCTGATGGTATTCAATACCATCGACATTATTCTTGATCTCTAGTTATTCTCTTATTCTCAGTTCATTTCATCAAATCCACTTCTCTTCCGCTTCATGTGTTTAGTGATGCAGATTGAGCCAGATGCCCTGATGATCGTAAATCCGCATGTGGCTATTGTGTATATTTGGGAAACAATCTCATTGCGTGGAGTGCCAAGAAACAAGCAACAGTAGCTCGTTCCAGCACAAAGGCAGAATTTCGAGCCGTTGCAAATTCGGTGACAGAACTCATATGGATCCAGTCCCTCATTGCAAATCAGGGTTTCTCATCCACCTCTCCTCCAGTTGCTTGGTGTGATAATGTGGGGGCCACACACCTAACTACACACTCGGTGCTCCAGGCATGCACCAAGCACATAGAGGTTAATTTTCATTTCTTGCGAGATCTAATTCTCAAGCAGAAACTACTGGTGAAATTCATCTCCTCAAAAGACCAGATAGCTGGCATCATGACTAAGGCTCTTCCAACACCACAGTTTCTTCATCTCCGGTCCAAGATGCATGTCTTCACAAAGCCATTTTGTTTGCGGGGGTGTGTTAAGGATAATGAGAATCAAGAGTCCTTTGGAGATCCGGATCTATCCTCCTAGGATAATCCCTATCTACTACTTAGGATAATCTCTATCCTGATCCTACTGTAACTCATCTTTTCTGTGATTATCTTCTTATCTGTACATTCTCTCAATCCTTGTAGAACTCCATTATAATGGTAAACATCTCATCTATAAATACCATACGTCTGATGGTATTCAATACCATCGACATTATTCTTGATCTCCAATTATTCTCTTGTTCTCAGTTCTTTTATTTTCTTAACTTAGCTTGATAGGAAAATTAAAAACCAATTATCAATCCCTTTTTCCTCATTCCATATATCTTTATCTTGGAGTACAGGATTTGAAGAGAAATCTCTATAGAAAGCCTGCTGTGTAACTGGAGGAGACTACAACTTTGATTGGACAAAGATGTGTGGAGCCCCTAGGGTTCCAGTTTGTCCTGTCCCAGAAACACGTGTGAGTTGGGATGGTATCCATTTGACAGAGAAAGCTTACAAGTACATGGCAGATTTCCTCATGCACAGCATAACACCAGAAATCCAATGTTTTAGGTGCAATAATCACTAAGCTTGATTAGAAAGATATTACTAATTCAATTGTTTGGTTCCTCAGTTTGGGTCTAGTGTTTTATCCTTCTTGTTTTCTTTTTTTTTTTTTAATCTTGTAAGGTAGCCAATAAACATTTATTTGGCCCATTGGATTTCGTCTGTATTTGACATCAAAGTTAAAATGTTGCATTATATTGGATTTCCTTTGGTAGTCATTATATACCCTATATTGGTATGGTTTCGGATGTTAACATTGCAATATAATAGTAGTGTAAAGAGTGATGTGAAGCATAAAAGAAGCCTACAAGAAAAGAGGTGTGTTATGGCAGATTTTGTAGCGGAGATTTCCATTGGTGGTTTTTATATATCATAATCTTGTTCTAGTGATGTGTCTCTTTTCTGATACGTAAACTTACATCACAATGTAATAAAATATTCAGCATGGCCTCCTTTGCCATTGCCCCTGTTCAAAACAAGAATAATACCATGTGATATCCAATGATACTTATTGCAGTTCGACCTTGAAAATCAGTACTTGGAAAACTTTATACCATGTTGTGATACGCTTGTTTGTATTTGAAAAAGTCCAGAAAATGATATTCTGACCTGTGATTTTGTCTTCATTAAGTGCTACTACAAGACTTTGTGAGAGTTGTTGCATGGAATGATGATCATGTTGAAAAGTAAGCCAAAAAGTCCAAAACAGCCAAAGAATTTAAAGCTTAAAAATTCCTAGTTGATCAAACTCTGAAAACATTCCTAATGCATTGATTTATATTTGAACTCCACTTGTAAATGTGGCTCTGATAAGATATCAACCTGTAGCAGAGAAGATAACAAACCACAGAACAAGAAGAACAAGACAAATAGGTTAATGTGCTTCATTTTAATAATCCTACATCCATAGGGGATGAGACGATCAATCCACTATTGTGAAAACCAGAATAGGTTATAGCCCTTGAAGCACCAACCTATCTCATTTGCAACCCTAATCTAATACAACTTAAGACTCCAACACAACAGTGACGAACTCTGATCAAGTGGCAAACTTACCTACTGAGGGTTTTTGTTCTAGGTTGAGTGGTTTAACCCTTTGACCTATGCTTTATATTTTAAAAACTATGCATTCATATGATTCATTCATGTGATGAGAAGTAACCACTAATCTTATGCTTTATATTTTAAGAACTAAGCACTCATCTTATTCTTTCACGATTCTAGTAGTGAATCTTTTGTTGTAGCCATATACTAGTTTTATGGAATGGGAAGTAACCACTAATACAATTTCTGTATTGTATTCTAATGTGCCCATTTTTAGGATTCTTCTTAAAACATATATCAAGAAAAATCAACTCCTTGGTGTAAGTGATCAGAGAATATGCTTTTATTATTCTTAATATATCTTCATCTAGACTTTTACTTGTGGCAAAAGCAATAATGTGGACTTTCTTAGTTGAATGCCTAGAACATTCTGAAACTATATATTTGATTATTACAGAAATACCTGCCCAAGATTGTTTTTGTTTTGAGAAGCTGAAGTATTAGGTATTCATTAGAAAATTGGATAATGATGTAGAGAAGAGGTATCTGCACAATTGGCAGCTATACATCCAGTAAGAAAATGGCACAGAAAAAGTATTCCATGTATCAACTCCCATACTGCATATACAGATATAAAATTAATATATAAAAACCAAAAATTATGAGTATAGCAATTTGTTGATTTCTTTGGTTATGGTTAGCCATGATCAAATTGTTAAATTCCTTTTCCTTTGGATATTGATGGCATTGCTTATCTGAACAAGCTGATATCCTTTTGTTCAAACATGAATGCTATGTTTGGTTTGAAGGAAAAAGTAGGGAAACTTATACATGATTTGTAAAGGTTTCCCTACATTTCCCTTCCTTTCCCTACTTTTTCCTTTAAACCAAACACAGCCGAAATGAAACTTTTACTTCTTTGATACCTAGTAAAGCTAGCTCATTAGTACTCTATTCTTGATAGAATGTCTTTCAAAGTATAGTCTGTAGACAACTGCTAAGTGCCAAAATAATTATTTTGTTGGAATGTGTAGATCATCCCCTCCCCCCTTTGGTGAGAAAAGTACCATTAGCTCCCCTAAAATTTTATCACTAGTTAGTTGCTATAATTTTGGATGCTTCGTTCATTTCTTAGAGTTTGCATCGACTGTCCCCTAGGGGCAGAATTTTTTCTGTCCCATCCAATGGAAATCGAACATGCCACTCTCCTCACTCTTACACTTCGAACTGATGGAGTCCAGACCTAACGGAAGTCTGGACTCCAAAAAACTGTGAAATTCAATTAACCCACTTCATCTTTCTCTTTGTTTTTTTTTTTTTTTCATAAAAGCAGTGAATGATGCTTTTTATCCCATGTTTTCTTCAATTTCTTTATATAGTTATATCTTGTCTTTCCAGAGTCTCCAAAATACAAAGCCCTATCAGTGTGGGAAGGGAAAGATGGCCAAAAATTGCCTTCCAATCCTGAAGAGGTTGAGGACCTATGCCGTGATTCTGCTGCAAATCCACTGATTGCATTCTCTTATAATGAGCTAAAGATAATAACAGAGAATTTTAGGCCAGATCATGTGTTGGGTGGAGGAGGATTTGGTGTTTATAAAGGATATATTTCTAAGGATTTATGGGAGGGGCTTCAGCCCCTTCAAGTAGCAGTCAAGGTTCATGATGGGGATAATAGTTTTCAGGGCCATAGAGAATGGCTGATACTTTTGTCTTTGGAGATTATTTCTCTATTTTTCTCTACTATTCTTTGGAGATTATTTCTCTTTCAATTCTACTACGAACTTGGTGGGTTTGTAGGCGGAGGTTATATTTCTAGGACAACTCTCTCATCCAAATTTGGTTTAACTCATCGGATACTGTTGTAATTTGTGCATTTTCCTTGCAAAATTTCCATGTTTTTCTTTTTTTTTTTTGCAAAATTTCAGGTATTTTCATGCATTTTCCTGCAAATTTTCTGTATTTTTCTGTTTTTTCTTAAAAATTTCTGCAATTTTCATGCATTTTCTGAAATTTCTGCAAAATTATTGTAATTTCTACATTTTTTTTGCAATTTCTGAAAATTTCGAATATATTCATGCATTTTCTGAATTTTCTACAAAATTATTTTAATTTTTGCATGTTCCTACAAAATTTCTGCAATTTCTGCATTTTTTTGTATTTTCATGCATTTTCTGCTTTTTTTTATTAGGGGTAAAATTGGAAATCATGGCTGATTCTAATTTCAGCCTCTTAATGAACCAAATAGCATAAATACGAAATCCGATTCCGATTCTGGTCTGAACCAAACAACCAAATGAAATAGGCCATTTCAATTCCGATTCCAAAAAATTCTGATCACAAACCAAACGAACCCTAACATTTAGTGGCACTACAGCAAACATCACGGTAGAAAACGCCTCTAAATAGCAAATGAATATTTTTCGTACTTTAATACGCATAGATATAACATGAGTGTTTATTAACAAGATATCATGAAGTGTTCTAATGGTTTGACAGAAAAGTTAAACAAATTTGGGATAAGGTTAATTAAATGGGTTTGGGAATGAGGACAATTTTCAAAGGTACCCTACCTATACCATTAGTATTTCCGTTCACAGTTTTAGCACATAGTTTGGCATTCACTAGTGCCTACCAAAACTCATTAATAGACACACTTTATTTCCTCCTAAACGGTTGAGGCCATGAAGTGTGTACAAAAGAAATATGTGGTATAGAGTATAGAGATACATTATGTGGGTAGGTGAGGAAATTTCTAAGCAGGATGTATGGGGAAAAGGAAAAATTTATTAACGTCATTATATGCATATACCAGAAAAGCACTCGTCTCATAATGGATTGTTCTTTCCTCTTTCTCTCTCTTTCTGTTTAGAGAGTTTTCCTCTCGAGGTTTTTCTCTGTCTTTGTCGTCGGTCATCTGCTTATTACCCATAGAATTCTTTTGGGGTGGCTCTTTTCAGAGAGTCCCCATTTCCATTACTCTCTTTTTTCATTTTCTGTTCTTTTTTCTTTCTTTTGTTCCTTTTCTTTCCTTCTCCCTTGCTTTTACTCTTCTTTCTTCCTCCCAACTAATTCTTCCCTCGCCTTTCCCACCGTTCTTTTGTTCAACCATTTCCCGCTGTTCTTTTTTTTTTTCTTTTCCTTTCTTCACCTCTTTTTTGTGCTTTTATTTTCTTTCTGCAGGGGTTTTGATAAGGGGGTTGCTTTCTCTTTAATTCTGTGTTGGGCGATTGATATCAATGGTTGCTGCTTTGTGTTTGTCATCCATAGTTAATTCCGTTCATATATAGTTCTCCGATGGATGTAGTTATTGATGGCGGTTATATTCTCTAGTAACGGTTTTTCGGGCTTTGCCATCTTTTGCATATCTATTCCAATCATACTTTTATCGACACTTTACAGTTTCTTTTGGGAACCTCTTCTGTCATTTTCTCTCTCTGTTTCTGGTGGATTAGAGATGTACTGATTTACTATTTCTGTTGGTGATTATTACTTCGCCTTTTGTTTAGTTGCAGAAGTTCTTTATGTTCTCCTTCATCCACTTTTATATTTTGTTCTTTATGAGAAATTGTATCTAGATTTTCCTGATTGGCCTTATTATCAATTCTATGTACTCGTATCAATTTCTTGATTAAGACTTCAAAGAAAAATTATTGGATTAGCGTTAAAAAGATGCCTACATTATAAAGCAGTAATTAAATTCAATTTATTAATGAAAGGGAAAGTTATATGTTCAAAAATAAATAAATAAAACGGAAAGTTATCTATAAAAAATATAAAAAATATTTATTGATTGGTCAAGAAGAGCTTGGAGTTGTGATGTGGACACAATTAATCCAAATTCGATATGGGTATAATTAATTAGATTTAGTTTTCTAGTAAAAAGACCACAATGAATTGGTTGTGGGTGAGTTTAAGTAATCTTGTATTTGTTGCTTTTGGTTTACCTAATGTCAAAAATAAAAAAAAAAAACCCAAAAAAAAAAAAAATAGCAAACAAAAGGAATCATAGATACGGACATCCAGCAATATCTGAGTCCACAAAGTTCCAGCCTCAGGGCATTGCTGCCTTGCAAGATCTAGATTTGGATTTCATCATTTCAGTGTGGATGCAGGATTAATATCTAGCCCACCATAATATAAATCCATCCCTTTATCCTGTAAAAACATTTTTAGTAAAAAAGCATGGACTCTGGCTAATGACATAGGGGACGTTTGATAATTGAAGTGGATGAATTGAAAAGCTTATTGTGGGCTCTTTAATAGCTAAAGTTAAAGATGAATAATCACTATACCCTTAAAAAATTATTATTTAATTATTTTATCAACTAAAAGACAATTCAATAAGTCATTCAATTCAGCAACTTCAGTCATTATCAAACCGCTCTTTAGTGATCCATCTATAGTTGAACCATCAAAATATTTGAGTTAGTCAATGGGTCCGATGTTAGACATTAAATCCTTCTTTACCCATTTCTATCATTAATAACAAAATCCTTATTTGTGTTTATAAAAATAAATATGATGAATATTTTTATATGAGTTTTTTTCCTTTTCCACATTTTTGTCTATTCTATTTTATTATATATGATTTATAAACATCTTGGGCCTAAGATGGTTGAACTACTGGCCCATATAATATATATATATATATATATATATATATATATATATATATATATTCTAACTATTCTAATATTTGCTTGAATTAATTTTTTTTTGTGGATGCAATATTGGAATTTGAAAAATATGGACAACTTAAATAGTTTATGCTTTTCTAAAATCATATTTAAAAACCACTTTTTCTTAATTGCTATATCTAATTTTATGCTAAATTAATTTTCTAATATAATAAATATAATTTTGGATAAATGAAAGATTAATTTTATAGAGAATTAAAATTTTCAAAACTAATATATAATATTTTTTTAGGGATTCAACCAGCCTAATCAATTGTTTATTATTTTTACTTTTATTAGACAAACAATCTTTTATAATAATAATAATAATAATAATAATAATAATAATAATAATAATAATAATAATAATAATAATAATTATTAATATTATTATGACTGAAAATAAGTATAAAATGTAAATATGCAATAATCATTACTTAATTTAAATGTTTATATATATTGAAATTTTGGTTAATGAAATTACTGTTGATTAATTCAAATTAACAGTAATTACAGTAATTAATGTATAGTATTTTGATAAACACATTTAACATTTATGATAATTATATGTAATTTAATAAATTACTACAAATACATTTAAATTAATGTATTTATTAATTAACAGTAATTAATTTTGATAGATAACAACACTTATTATTCATTATTATTACTGATAAGAATAATATTAATAATTAACTTTACTTATATATTTATGAATTAATATGAATATTAAATGATTATAGCCAAATTAATAATTACAATTATTAATATCATTATTAATTATCAGTCCGAATTAATAAGTATAATTATTATCTCTAATTAATTAGTAGTAAGTAATTTTGTTAATTAATTATTATCAGTAATTAATTATAAGTAATTATTATTATTAATTGTATAATACACTGCAATACCATACAATTCAAAATGACAAACACATCAATACCCATTCGTGAATTCGCATCCATTCTATGATGGCACCTACCCCAGTTGGCACCTACCCCAACTGCTTAATATTTCTGGAGGTAGATCTATACTATTACTATACGAATAAAAGATATTAAAAATCCGAATGGATCCAGATTTCTAAACCTTTCTTGACTAAAATACCCGAAGTTGACTATCTAAAACATTACTTTGAACTAATAATTTGGTTTCAAAATTTGATATTCATGTTAAGACTAAGAGACTCATGGAAGAATGAGGGGGAGTTTCAAAAACCTTTCACAATTGAAACCAGAAACGAAAATTATTTTTCTGTCCTCTGTTTATTCAACACTAATTAACATTATTTCTACGGCATTGATTTTGAATGTATTCCCTCATATTTTCAAGTAACAGAGAAGTTTCGGGTAGTTCTGGGAATACCAAGAAGCCATGAATCGCATTTGGGTACTCGATCATGCTCACTTCTTTGCCGGAACTCTTCAGCCATTGGTAGTATCTTCTCTGCCAGTCTTGTAGCGGATCCAACCCACCGACACACACTAACGTAGCGGGGTAATCCAATTCCGAAATATCGGCAGTTTTCGGTGCCGAAACATTCGCCGCCTCATGGTCCCGGTTCGAGCCCTCCGGCAGAAAAGCCTTCCACAACCAGTCCGTTCGGTCCATCGAAACCAGCCGATCGGCTCTGAATCGGATCTCGGACTCGGTCCGCTCCTCTCCACCAAAGAACGGTTGGATCGATATCAGTCCAACCAGTTTCACCTCCCGAAGCGCAACTTCTTTGCCGGCTCGGCATGCTACATGATGTGCCAAGTTGGCTCCGGCGCTGTCTCCCGCAAGGAAGCACCGAGAAAGATCGGCATTCGCCGGAATGGCTTCGAGCTTCCGACTGTCAAGGAACTTAAGAACGTCGAAGCCGTCGTCATAGGGAGCCGGGAAGCGGTTTTCCGGTGAAAGCCGATAGTTGACGGACACCACAACAGCGGGCATCTTCCGAGCGAACTGGCGGCAGAGAATGTCGTAGTTCTTCGCGTCAGCACTGAGCAAGACGAATCCGCCGCCGTGGAAGAATACGATCACCGGGAGGCCGCTACCGTTGCTGGCAACTTTCTCGGTTGGGACGAAGAGGCGGAACCAGAGGCTCCGGGAGGGGTCCACCGTTATGTCGGCGGTCCTAACGCCGTGAACTGGTTTTCCATTGGGCCGAGGGTTTAGTAGATCAAGGACGCTGAGTAGACGGCGGTTGACGGTACCGTCAGCGCGACAGGCAGCTCTTGTAATGAATGAGAAGACATAGATTAAGAGCCTCGTCTTCCACGGAAGCATCGTCGACTTCATCTCTCTCTTGCTAGCGATTGTTGTATCGTAAATTACATAAGAGTGGATGAGTTTGGAAAGATTACAAATGCAAATATCTAGAGTGCAAAGGTATATATTTTGTATGTATTTGTACTGTACATAGCACTCTTTCCAAACTGAGCCATGATAATCAGGCGTTCAAAATCTGCCCCCCCACAACGTCCAACAGCACATCCCCGCCGTGTATTGAAAACATCTTGTGGAGATATGCTGTGGGAAGTTGTGGGAACAATCTTGTGGGGATTGATTTGAACTCTAATATGCATTGTGTTGTGATCGTCAATAGAAAATGCGGTGACGTGTTGATACGTTATTGGGCAGTTGCGACCTAAATGGGACCCAACCAACTGCTACTTTAATTCAGTACTGGTGATTTTGATTTTGACTTTTGCTTAACAAGAATCCGATGGTATTGAGCCAATCAGAATATGCCACGTCAGTTAGACATATAAGGCCCTGGTTTACGGATCTGACGTGGTGTACCATGGTCCATGTATCAATATTGAGCAGTGCTTTTCCCTTGATCCTCCATCTCAAATGATAATGTGTTATTGGGACGCCTCAGATTATATATTGTTGTAGGTTTCGCCGTGGTCCCGTGGAAATTTAATTAAAAGCCACCTCAGTGTGAAATCAAAAGCTTTTACAAAAATAAGGAGACGCGGAGTTATCATCCACCGTTAAAAAAGCGGATGTACCTACAACCTAAAGTCTATTCCGTTTTGGAGGGATGAAGGGGTGTTCTGTAGATTGAATCACACTTCATCTTTAATTCATACCCTGTATTTTGATTTTATGCATCTCACCTATATGTAGAGCTACTATAATTGGATCAGGCTTAGATCGGATGCAACAAAATTCACATCCGATCTGATTAATGAAAACCTGCATCCAAATCCAACCAGATTTAAAGACTCATATTAGAATTCAAATCCTAACGGACTTGAATTGGATTTGGATTTAACCAAACTCTACTTTAACTTTTTTTAAAATATCAGAAAATTTTAAAATTTAATTATTTTCATATATAATATAATATATACAATACATTGTTATAATTTTAAATATAATTATATAAAATTTATATATTAAAATTAACAAATATTAACATAAATACATCATCTGTAGCTGAGATAATCAGATTGAATGTCAAATGGGCCTCAGATTTTTGGGTATTAGTAACATGCCTAACAACATGTAAGGTGATCTATGTTGTTAATAAGAAAAAAGCAATATTTTATTTTATAAATATAAAAAAAAAATCATTAGGTTGCCAAGAGTACTAAGTTTATATGAAAATAATAATTAACAAAATATACATATATTTAATTAAAAAGTAATAAAATATACACATATTGAATTAAAAAATGGGGGATAGATTAGGTAAAACATTCCATGCAAAACATGGAATCATTTAGTAAAAAATTCCACAGCAATGTGGATCAATCCACGATAAAAACTTATGGATGAGAAATTGGCTTTTGGAGTGAACCGATCCATGAGATAGTGTGGTCGTTCCACACTAGAGGCCAACCAAACACCTTAAGGCTCCGTTTGATTTGAGGGAAAGTTTAGGTGGCATGGGAAAGGGTGGGATGGGATGGGATGAGAAAGTGTGAAAATTTTACTTTCCACCGTTTGGTTGTACAAGGGAAAATAGTGGAAAAATTCATTTTCTTATATTTGTTTTTTTGAGAAAATTCATTTTCTCATGTTTCTTTCCCTCTCATATTATGAATTAATGAAGTGAATTAAGGGCCAAACAGCCAAACTAGTTGATGTAATCCAACTTATATATATTTTTAGAATCATATTTTAACGATGTTGATTGTAACCATCACATTTGACACAGATCAATGATGGGCCCACGTCATTTGAATTTCATATGGCAAGTTATGGCCCCATGCAACAACAGCTAGTAGTCCTATTTTGCAACCAATCGACCTGTAACTTTAAATGTATTGCTGCCCTTGGACAATAGAGCTAAGTTGGATTCCTAATGATAGATGTTCATTAATCAGTAAAGCTTAAGGCTTGTGTTATATGTGCGTCAAAAGAATGATAGCTTAATAGCATAAGAGTGAACACTGAAGGGTTGGGATTAGAGTTTTGTAATTTTACTGGTAAACAAAATTTAGACTCATTCAAACATTTATAGTGTCTGGACTCCCCTCTTAAATCATTTTGATCTATTTAGTTTTGTGCTCTTCACCATAGTAAGATGCAAAAGCATATCTAAGATGTTGGGTCTTTTTTTTGCATATTGCCAAAGACCATTCTTCAATTAATTTTATAATAGGCTAGTTACTCCTCTTAAACTAAAATAATCAAAAAATTGTAAAGCAGAATTAGATGCCATTAAACTTGCAAATTTCAAAGATGTCAAAGCCTAAGTGTTGTTTCTCCATCATCCAACTTCATGTTAGACCGTATATGCCCTTAGTTCCAATCAGAATGATGTACATTATGACATTTAATGTAAATGAATAAAGTACATATTTGATTAATGTCATTATGGTGTGTTTATGATTAATACCCTTAAACTGGACACATATGAGACTCGTGTTAGTTTAGAATCTTCATAGTCGTTGGATAGATCTAGGGAGATTTATCCTGCCAAGGCTGACGCTGATGTGCCGCCAAGTTGGTTGGGGTAGCTTGTCTCAGCTGCTAGGGTGAAACCTGAGGTATATGCGGTGTGGGTTTTCTTGAAACTCTGAACCGGACCAGAATTCCAGTATTGCCCTAGACCTTGGAAATAATTAGAAAAAACTGGAATGTTACACCTGACCCCTAGACTCGATTATGATACTGCACTAGGTGTC